TGGCTCTGGTTCTGTCTCGTGGCGGTCCACCCGCTCTTCCTCTGTTCTCGGCTCTAGTTGTGAGGCTGAGATCTACGCCACAGCCATGGCTGCACAGGAGTTACGCTGGCTCACCTACCTGCTGACTGACTTGGGAGAGCGGCCTAGTTCTCCTCCAGTTCTGTACGGTGACAACAAGGCGGCTCTTGCCTTGTGTCAGGAGCACAGACTGGAGCACAGGACGAAGCACATTGCTCTTCGCTACTTTCTTGCTCGAGAGCTTCAGCAGCGCGGTCAGCTTCGGCTTGTGTACGTGGACTCGAAGGCCAACACTGCTGATATCTTCACCAAGGCGCTCCCGCCTAGTGATCATCAGCGGCACTGTACTTCTTTAGGCCTTGTGTCCACGTTTCCTCACTTGCTCACTGCTTGACATTCTTTGTACTGTACTTTATATATATCTTGTTGCTTGCTTGCTAGGTATTGATCACTGTGTTGCTTGTCTTGTACTATATCTAGCACTGCATGTGAACTGGCCTTGTGGCCTTTGCTTGTGCTCGGAGTGTGGTGACGTTGTGATCCACCCTGGGCTTTGCTTTGCTTTGCTGGACTGGTCTTGTGACCCTTTGTTCTCCCCCACTTTGCCTATGGGGGTGTGTTAAACTGTATTATGCTTGTAGGCTGTAGTGGGGTAGCCAATATGGGGTACAACCCCAACTAGGGTTTGCTACTTGTACCCAATTCTTCCATTCAATGCACCATTCTTGCCTAGTTCTCTTAACAGTACCGGGGAGCAGGAGGTGGGGCGGGAGCCAGGAAGAGAGGAGGGGGAGGAACCGGGAGACCTCTAGAGGGGTACCTGACGTAGAAGGGGACGGACTCCTCAAAACGAACGTCACGGGAGTCAAAGAACCTGTGAGAAGGAGGGTGGTAAAAGGTGTAGTCAGAGGAGTCCTCAGGGAAACCAAGGAAGACACAGGGAACGGCGCGAGGCGAGAGCTTGTCCGCGGAGGTGTCGCGAACAAGAGCCAAGCAACCCCAGACACGAAACCTCGACGCAACACCAGGGGACCCGGTCCAAAGACTGGTCGGTGAAACCTCTGGCCGAGAGACACGAGGCCAGGAATCAGCTGGTGTGCGGCGTACCGAACCGCGTAGGGCCACAGAAAATGGGGGGCACGGGCGTGAGTCAAGGAGGTGCGCGCAATCTCCATGACCAAGCCTATGCGGCGCTCAGCAACCCCATTCTGCTGTGGGGACTCCGGAAGCGTCCAGGACTGACGAATGCCCTGTTCGCGACAGAATCCAGCGAGAATGCCTGAGCGAAACTCACCCCCACGGTCAGAGTGCAGACAGCTGACACGATGACCACTAGTGTCTGCAGTGGAAAGCAACCACCTGATCAGCGTAGAAGTCACCTCACACTTTTTCGCCAGGGGGAACACCGTGGTGTAGCGGGAGTAGTCGTCAACGACCACCAAAAAGAAACGCTCACGCTCAGGGCCAGGGCGAGGAGAGGGGCCCCAGACGTCCAAGTGGAGCGTCTCAAAAGGCTCGGTGGCCGGACGAAGGGAGGAGTGAGGGGTGGCGCGCAGCCGACCCTCGACGCAAGGACCGCAAGGAGGCGCAAGCGAGGGCGGCAGCGACGGCAAGACACGCGGGAGGCCTAGGACAAGACGCTGACTAGACATGGCGCGAAGACGAGGGAGCGACGGGTGCCCCATCCGGTGGTGCCACAGAACGGTGGGGTGGGCAAGCGACCGGCAGGAGCAAGACGCAGCGACTAGACTAGATACGACTACCGACGAAACAACCTGGTTCGACGCAGGGAGGAGACAGGGGGGAGGGACAGGGGTCGGGAGGAGGGGCTCCCGCGGCGGCGGTTGCTGCTGCTGCTGCTGCTGCTGCGACTGCTGCGGCTGCTGCTGCTGCGGCTGCTGCTGCTGCTCACCAGGGCGCGTGTGGAGGGTGTAGAGACCGGAGCCCGGCTCAGCTGTAAAGGTGGCAAGGGGTTGGTAAGAGCCCTCGTCAACACACACCGCTGTCTCACCCGAAAACCACACACCCACGTGCTGGCTCACAAGGGGTCGTACGCCCACCAAGTTCCTCGAGAACGAGGGGACGTGAAACCCGGTAAGGGACCCGGAGGGAGCAGCAGGGCACGGAAGAGTGGTAGTATGGCGCGCAAGGACTGGTCCCGAGGTGGGATCAGCTATCACCCCCACCACCTCCGCCTCCACCACCCCCACCGCCCGAACCCGAACCGCTCTTCCTGCTGCCCCTACTCCGGGACCGCGAGGAAGTCGTAGCAGCTGCTGCAGTGACGTCAGTGGCAGCAGTGGCTAGAGAGGCAGTAAAGGTGGGCAGCTGTGGAACTGTGCACCCGTGGAACAGTGGGGGGGGCACAGCACCAGAGGCAGCGGCTACCGAGCGAAGGTTGCTCTCGACGTCCTTGAGTGCGGACTCAAGGACCTCGATAGTGAGCTCACTAGGGTGCTTCAGAAGAAGCGCGTCACGAACAGAGGCAAGGCGGTCAGGGAGGCTAGTGGCGATGAAATAGATAGTAATCGCCATCGGGGGAGGGAGCAGTGCGAGCTGTGCGTCAGTGCAGGCAGCGCGGTAGCTAGAGTCAAGCGAGCGGAGGTGAGCGACCAAGTCAGCTGAGCGCTCAAACGAAGCGAGATCAGGGAACAGGAACGGGAGGAAAAGACGACCAAGAGAGACAGTAGCGGGAGTAGCGTAGCGGGCCTTAATCGCAGTCAGGAACTCGCTAGCAGAGCGAACCTGAGTGAAGTGAACCTCCTCAGACTCAGGGAGGAGGCTGCTGAGGGCGATGCAGGCCGCAGCGTCACGCGACGTCCACGCCGTAAGAGCAGCACGCTGGCGGTCAAAGCGGTCGCGGGCAGTGTCGTCTGGGTCCGGGCCTAATGGCGTGGGGTCGGGGGGCGCAGGAAGAACACCAACAGCGTGCGCCCAGAGGGTCTCTCCCGACTGGACCTGACTCTCTAGCAGGCGACGCGCGCGGAGGAGCCAGACCGAGAAATCGAGCGGGCGACCGTCAGCATCGAAACGAAGGACGCGAGGTGTCGCCATTGTTCGCAAACCGAAGCGGCAGGGAAAGCAGGGCGCAGCGACAGGCGTAACAGGCTAGGAAGGCAGGTCGCAGCGGGCGGGTAAGGCAGGGGGGAACGGATGGGAAGAGCAGGTGCGCGCGGGCGGACTAGGGCAGGTGCACGTGGGCTAGGGGAGGAGCGCGCGAGCGGTCTAGGGCAGGGGTGCCGGGCGGGTAGGGCAAAGGCGCCGGGCGGCAGAGGTAGGGCGTAGGCTGGGGCGCGGGCCTGGGCGACGGGTTAGGGCGCAGGCAACGGCGAACGGGCGAGGGCGCGGGCTGGGGCGACGGGCTAGGGCGCGGGCCTGGGCGACGGGCTAGGGCGCGGGCCTGGGCGACGGGCTAGGGCTCAGGCCTGGGCGAAGGGCTAGGGCGCGGGCCAGGGCGACGAGTTAGGGCGCGGGCTGGGGCGACGGGCTAGGCGCGGGCCTGGGCGACGGGCTAGGGCGCGGGCCAGGGCGACGGGCTGGGGCGACAGGCTGGGGCGACGGGCTGGTGCGCGGGCATGGGCAACGAGCTAGGGCGCGGGCAGGGCGACGGGCTGGGGCGACGGGCTAGGGCGACGGGCTAGGGCGACGGGCTAGGGCGCGGCTAGGGCGACGGGCCAGGGCGACGGGCCAAGGGGGGAGGGGGAGGGGGGGGGGGGGGAAGGGCGGCGCGACGCGACGAGAAGCGGGGGGGAAAGCGCGACCATGCGATCTACCGCTAACGGGAGGCTCGGGTGTAACAGTAACGAGGGGCTCGTGCGTAACGAACGGGAATGGGAGGATCGGGATCCAATAGGATCCAACTAGCTGATACCATGTTAGAATGAGAGAATGTTGTGTTTCATTGATGTGGTTGGGGTACATATAGAAACCCTAACAGATGTACCCCCTAAGACAAGCCTCACTACAGGCTACACATTTGACACGGTACGGGAGAATACGGTACCGGGTGTTTTTGAGTAGTCTCATACGGTCAAGAACATTCCAGTATGCTACTGTAGGTGAAATTACCAGTCAAGTGTTTTTGAGTCGACTCACACGGTCAATAACATTCCAGAATGTTGCAGACCACAAGTTGGCAAATGGATTGCTGTGACAGGGAGGTCACCAGACTAGAGTACGACAGATTAAATACAGAGCAGCAGATGCAACTGTAAAGACGCACCTCTACTGTACAGTATCAATGACAAGCCTGTTCAGTACATGCCTTGCAATCAACACACTCCCTCGCTCCAAACCTCTGCACCGTGTCCCTTAACTCCCTCATCATAGCACCTGTGCTCAGGCAAGCCAGCCATTTTCTCGCCTCGTTCGTCTCCTCTGCAGCCTGCAAAAGTTTCACATGTAGCAAAATTGAGCAACGGTCTTGTCGTCACCTCCAAACCCCACCCATGCTGCAATCAGCAGCCCGATCCCTCCTAACAGAGCTTCCACCAGAGCATAGCAGCTGCTAACTGTCAAGCACCTTGGCACGAGACAAGACCTCGTCCACCGACCCTCACTCCAGCAGCCTGCAGCAATCGCACATCCAACTGGTTGCGCCTCACAAGCCCCCATCAGCAAATCCCATCTCCCCCATACAGCAGAGGCAACAGCTACTCTTGCAGCACCTTGGCCCAAGCCAACACTCCTTCCATCCTCATCCCAGCAGCCTGAAGCAATCCCACATCCACCTGGTTGCGCCTCTCAATCGCATCCAACACCTCCTCATGCACCTGCGAGGCAAATGGCCTGGCCGCCTGTTCAGTCTGCCAACGTTCCCATGGGCCTATTCCTATCAACCAACCCATCCCTCCGCTCGTCATCTCCCTCCTCCCCATGCTCCCCATGCTCCCCATGCTCCCATCTTCCCATGCACCGGAATTGCCGCGTCTAACTCCCCTGACTAACCCTCGACATATTCATGCACCGGAACAGAGCAGCAGCTATCCTTCAAGCACCTTGGCCCGAGCCAATGCCTCGTCCACCCTTTCCCCTGCAGCCTGCAGCAGCCGCACGTCCACGTGGTTGCGCCTCACAATCGTATCCAACACCTCCCCATGCACATGCGAGGCAAACGGCCTGGTCGCCTCCCACCCCGCCCTCACAGCATTCTCCAGCGCCTCTCCCTCCCCCGGGCCTATCTTAAACCCCAGCGCCGCTTGTAACACGGTTACCACATCCCCTGCCATGTCGTATCGTGCGACGGCAACAGTCTGCTTCTGTGTTGCTACTGCTAACGGAGCTGCTGTAAGGGGGATGTTTAGGACCCGGGATACGGCCCGGGAAAGCCGGTTATCTGTGGTGATATCTTCTTGATTCACAGGGAGGGACTGCAGGTGGTGTGTGAGAGCGTGCAAAAATTCTAAGTTAGAAAGGCCTGCTGGCACGGGCATGCCCGGGTAGAGGTTCTTGAACCAGGCAGGGGCGTTGTGGGGGTTGGAGGAGTAGGAGAGATAATCGGTTGCGAGAGCGAGGGAGATGTGGTGGGGGAGGAGGAGGAAGGTGAGGTTGGAAGGGGAGGGGGGGAGGAGGAGGGGGAAGGAGGGGAGGGTGTAGTTGGGGCAGGAGGAGAGGGAGGAGCGGAGGGAGGCTAGTGCGGCAGGTATGGTGGCGAGGGGAGGAATGGCGAAGGCTCGGAAGGTTGTGGTTCGGGAGAAGTGGGAGCAGAGGAGAGCCGAGACCTGGCGCCACTGGGGAAGCTGCCAGGAAAGTGCATGGCAAGCAAGATGAGGGGGAAAGGGGAGGGAGGGGTGAGGTGACGGGGAATGGGAGGGAGGGGTGAGGGAAAGAATTCCAAGAGAAGTCCAGCAAAGCTCCACCCAAGTTCCAACCACAAAAAATTACAGATGAATTTCAGTTGCACCCAAAATTTACACAAATTTCACCCACGTGTCAGTTGAACCCACGTGTCAGTTGAACCCACGTGTCAGTTGAACCCACGTGTCAGTTGAACCCACGTGTCAGTTGAACCCACGTGTGAGTTGAACCCACGTGTCAGTTGAACCCACGTGTCAGTTGAACCCACGTGTCAGTTGAACCCACGTGTCAGTTGAACCCACGTGTCAGTTGAACCCACGTGTCAGTTGAACCCACGTGTGAGTTGAACCCACGTGTCAGTTGAACCCACGTGTCAGTTGAACCCACATTACTTCCTCACCTGAAGGACGGGAGGCTGCAGGAAGAGTGGCAGCGTGGCTGGGGAGCAGCGCACGATGCCCCTGACAGGCGGGAAGCGGAAGCGAGGCGACACCACGCCCGTGATGCTGGGGGCGGGGTGGGATGCTTGCATAGGCAGGGGCAGGCGCGCCTGGGCTAGGCGGGCAAAGTCGTCTGGTTGGCCAGAGAGCAGAAAGGGGAAGAGATCCTGCTTTGGCAGGAGGGGTGGGGGATGGAGAGGGGAGACGGGTGGGGGATGGAGAGGGGAGACGGGTGGGGGATGGAGAGGTATCGTGTGCCATAGTAACGAGGTGACTATTGAGTCGACTCAAAAGTCAGAGAGCAGAAAGGGGAAGAGATCCTGCTTAAGCAGGAGGGGTGGGGGATGGAGAGGGGAGACGGGTGCAATGAGGAGGGGAGGAGGAGAGGAAGCAGAGCTTTCATGTGGCTCAAGAAGAGGGGCAGGCGGGGATGGGTGGGCAAAACCATGAAGGCGGCTGCCCCTGCCCCTCTCCTCATTGTACCCGTCTCGCCTCTCCATCCCCCACCCACCCCTCCTGCCACAGCAGGATCTCACGTCCAAAACCATGAAGGCGGAATTCACTTCCACCAGCTCTGCCCCCCACTCACCCCGTACGTTACAGCTGCGCAATGGGGCAGTTGGCAGGAGGGGAAGGGCGGACACCGTACTTGATGACATCACAGCGAGCACACAGCCACCCTCCTGCTGCTCTGCTGCCCTTCTAACGCTCCCTCTGCTGCTGCGTTTGACCTCACTCACCCACCCCTCCACTCACCCACCCCTCCACTCACCCACCCCTCCACTCACCCACCCCTCCACTCACCCCATACATAGAGAGCGGGCCAATAAGGCAGCTGGCTGGCAGGGGGAGGGACCCCGAAGTTGATGATATCGTAATGAGCAAAGAGCCCCCCCCCCCTGCTGCTGCTCTTGAGCCTTTCAGCTCCGCCCCCCAGTCACTTACCCCATATGTGGAGAGCGGGCCAACGAGACAGTTGGCAGGGGGAGGCACCCCAAAGTTGATCACATCGTAATGAGCAAAGAGGCCGCCGCCTGCTGCTGCCACGGCCAGCCAGCGAGTCACAATGGGCTGATAGCATAGTGCATTGGCAGGGGAAAGGGAAGCGCAGAGGCGGGAAGAAGAGAGGGGAATAAAAGGTCAGAACAGAGTAGGGAGGCTTCAGAGAGTCAAGGAAAGGGCAACAAGGGAACTCGAGGGAGTGACGTGACGTATCAATCAGAGGTGATGAAAAAGCCTGCATTGGCAAGTTTTGAGACGTCTCAAAACCTGCATTGGCAAGTTGCCAACCCTCTCCCCCCCCCTTTCCATCCCTCATAGCATCTCCCCCCCTCCCCCCCTCTCTCCCCTGCTCGTCTCAGCATCTCGTTATATTCCCATGCCCTTTCACGGTCTCCTCTCCTCCACACCCAACTTCCTTCCTCCCCTAAATCCCTCACTCACCTTCATTGCTGATCCACCTGCTTCCTCCCCTGCTCGTCTCAACATCTCGTGATATTCCTCATGCCCTTTCACGCTCTCCTCCCCTCGCAGTACCACTGGCACCCACCCCGCTTTGAGCCAACTCAGCTGCCACACGTGCAGCAGACTGGGGAAAGGGGGGACGGGGGTGAGGGGGAACGAGAGAGCAAGAGCAAAGGGATTAGGTGGGGAGAGAAAAAGGCAGAGAATTCACCCACACCCCCCAGTCACACACCATACAGTCACTCACACCGTACAGTCACTCACCTCGCCTCCTCCTCCACGTCTCCAGCAACTTGACTCGGGTCAAAGAAGGTCAACACCTTGCACCCTCCATCCCCACGCCTCCCACTCTCCCCCGTTTCAACCCCTCCCTCCACTCCTCCTCCACCTTCCCCTGCTGCTCCCCTGCCTCCCATTCCCCCCCTCGTCTCTTCACCTCCTGCTGCCCCCCACGAGCTCGACTCCCCAAAATCGTACTGCCCGTCCCAGCCTATCCCCAAGCCTGCACGTCAGGACAGGAGGTTCGGCAGGGAGTATAGGAGGGTCATAGCAGGTTTGGAGCAGTCAGGATCGGTACTACCAGGTCTGAAAGCATCCCTCCACTTGAGGTGAGACAGCTCGTTAGGTGAGTGAGAAGACCAACCAGGCACTGGCCTCATGAGTTGCTTTTGAGGCGCCTCAAAAACGACCCAGAAGACCAGGCACTGGCCTCATGACTGCCTGGGCTGGGCACCTAGCTTTTCCTTGGGAGTGCTTCAGTGGAAGCCTAGGCAGGAGCAGCTAGCTAGAAGCCTAGCACTCAGAGCTCGAATGCAGCTTCTGAACGGCTAGTAATCTAATCCGCTGCAACGATTCTGCATCTGCATCTGGTGTCCGTCCGCCCATGCCTCCAACAATTTCTGACGTGCCTCAAGAATTCGGACTCTGACCAGTTTGTGAGCTGCCGTGTAGCTTCCACAAACGCTGGGTGGGTGTAACCGCTGCTTGCTAGGCGAGTAACTTGGCTCTACTTGCAGCCCGCCCTGCTTCCGCCCTGTACTTGCAGCCCGCCCTGCTTCCGCCCTGTACTTGCAGCCCGCCCTGCTTCCGATCCAACCAACCCTCCTCACTCGAACCTTTCTCCTCCTCAGCGTCGTTCTCCGCAGCTCTTCTCACAGCCCAAATCAAGGGAGCGCCCACCCATTCACCCACAGCACCTTTGGGTTCTGTCCCTCACATGAACAGATCCTTAGGCCCACCCCTCCACCTGCCCCTCACATCAGATGAACAGATCCTTAGGCCCACCCCTCCACCTGCCCCTCACATCACATGAACAGATCCTTAGGCCCACCCCTCCACCTGCCCCTCACATCACATGAACAGATCCTTAGGCCCACCCCTCCACCTGCCCCTCACATCACATGAACAGATCCTTAGGCCCACCCCTCCACCTGCCCCTCACATCACATGAACAGATCCTTAGGCCCACCCCTCCACCTGCCCCTCACATCACATGAACAGATCCTTAGGCCCACCCCTCCACCTGCCCCTCACATCACATGAACAGATCCTTAGGCCCACCCCTCCACCTGCCCCTCACATCACATGAACAGATCCTTAGGCCCACCCCTCCACCTGCCCCTCACATCACATGAACAGATCCTTAGGCCCACCCCTCCACCTGCCCCTCACATCACATGAACAGATCCTTAGGCCCACCCCTCCACCTGCCCCTCACATCACATGAACAGATCCTTAGGCCCACCCCTCCACCTGCCCCTCTATCACCTCCGTCGCCTCTCCTCCTGCATTACAAGAAACGATTCTTGAGGGGCCTCTTTGTCCCGACCACCAACAGCACCTCGCATTCCCTCTCCCGTTGCTTTATTGCTTTCATTGCCTCTCCTCCCCTCCCCGCCAGCCACGCCCCTACGAATGACCCATGACATGAGACGTCCCTTTCGGCGCATGACACGTAAACTCGTGCCTTGCTTGATGATTTCCAGGTGCTCGAAAAATCTTCCCACAGGGATTAAATCGGCCAGCGAGTCTACCCATCCCTCCCTCCACCGCCTCCTTCTCCCCAGTTAGTCCGTGCGTTCCCCCAGTTAGTCCGTGCGTCTCCCCAGTTAGTCCGTGCGTCTCCCCAGTTAGTCCGTGCGTCTCCCCAGTTAGTCCGTGCGTCTCCCCCTTTTCTCTCCCCCTTTTCTCTCCCCCTTTTCTCTCCCCCTTTTCTCTCCCCCTTTTCTCTCCCCCTTTTCTCTCCCCCTTTTCTCTCCCCCTTTTCTCTCCCCCTTTTCTCTCCCCCTTTTCTCTCCCTTGCTCCACTCTCTTCCTCCATCCCCTTCCCCTCTCCCTCCCTCCCTCCTTCCCTCCCTCCCTCCCTCCTTCCCTCCCTCCCTCTCTCCTTCCCTCTGCCTTCTCTCTCCCCACACCCTACCAAATCCTGCTGCTGTTTCTAGAGCTTCACAGAGCTACCACGGTACACCTCCTGACGTGCCGTGCTGCTAGTGAATTCAAATCAACTCCTGTCGCTGCTGATGGCTGCTGACTTTCAAAAACGAGTCTGAATCTCCCCCTCCCCCCCCTCCCCCCCTCCCCCAGCAGCAAACACTTGAGGTCAGCGTCTATTAAGAATAAGGAATGAGAGGGAATGGGCGTGCAGGAGGAGGAAGAGAGAGGGATGGACGCGAGCAGATGTGCCTTCCGCAGCAACATTACTCCGAGCAACAAATTTACTCTGAGTTGGTTGCAGCTTGGCTGGATCCTGGGCTGCAAAAAAAATAAAATTGATACTAAAAAAATCTGTAAAATCTTGCTAAGCAGCACAGCAGCAGCAGCCAGGCGTCTGTGGCCCCACCACGAGCCCCAGCAGCCACCACCGCCACCGCCCTTTCCACTCTCACCCGCTCCTCCCACTCCCTCCCCTCCCTCTCCCTTCCCCGCTTCCTTCCCCTCCCCCAGAGCAGCAGCAGAGAGGCTCTTAAAATCCGCGTCCTTTAGCAGAGAGTGCAGAGAGGGAATGGGCGTGGGAGGGAGGGGGTAGCAGCAGCCAGGCGTCTGTGGCCCCACCACGAGCCCCAGAAGCCACCACTGCCACCGCCCTTCCCACTCCCACCCGCTCTTCCCACTCCCACCCCTCCCTCTCCATCCTTCCCTGCTTCTTCCCGCTCCCCAGGAACAGCAGCAGAGAGGCTCTTGAGATCCGCGTCCTTTAGCAGAGAGTGCAGAGAGGGAATGGGCGTGGGAGGGGGTAGAGGCGCCCCTGCTGCCACTGCTGCTTCCATCGCTGCTGCAGCAGTGAGTGCTGCTGATGGTTCTGCCGCTGCTGCTACTGAGAGGGGAAACAGGAGAGGGTCCTCCCCTGTATGTCTCGTAGACGTATCAGGCACTGCTCCTGTTGTTGCTCCTGCTGCTGGTGCGGCAGCTGCCGCCGATGGTGGTAACGACGGTGGGGATGCTAGTGCTCCTGCTGCTCCTGCTGGTGCTGCTGTTGTCGGTGCAGCTGGTGCAGCTGCAAGTCCCGATTTTGAAAGCTTTTCGCCTGTTTCGCCCGAACCTCCTGCCAAGCCTGGACCGTTAGGTCCGGCTGGGGCTTCGGCATCAGTCAGCCGCCAATACAGGTCACTTTCGCGCTGCGCCAGCTCAGCTTCTGCTGCATCCAGGCGGCCTATGCTCTTCGTCTTATCCTCGTTAATAGTCTCCTCGAGATCCGCTAAAGACTGCTCCAATTCCTCCAGTGTAGCCTCTACCTCTACATTCTCCGATTTTCTAACCCCAATTTTTAACTCTTCACCATTTTTCATGCTCTTATCTTCCGCGTCTGTTCCCCAAAGCCCCTCTGCTCCATACTCGCCATAATCATTTCCGTTAGAAGCACTTTTCGAAACACCAGCACGGGGGGAAGCGGCAGGCGCGGAGGCGGGAGGATTTCCTCGAAGAGCGGAAGAACGAGCTGACGTGGCTGCCGCGATTGGCGCCGCAGCTGGCGACTCCGGAATCGCTGACGTGGCGAAACCAGGCGGCGATGGTGGTTGCGTTCCTGCTACAGCTGCCGCTAATATCGCTGATGCTCCCGGAGCAGGAGCAGCACTGGCTGAAGCAGCGGCTGTAGCACCAGTAGTAGCCGCAGGCGCAGCGGCAGCTGTAGCGGCAGCAGTTGTACTAGCGGCTGAGCTAAAGTTCAGATCCGCAGAGAACGTGACTGAATCGGCGGCAGGGTTCGGTCCAGTATCCGAACGAACTGTGACTGTATCGGGGGAAGGAGCGGTGGCGGAAGAGGGGAAAGAATCGGACGGCGGGGATTGAGAAGAGGAAAAGGGTTCGACAGGATTCGAACCTGAGAGGGCCATCGAATTCGTTGACGCGGAGCCGTCCCCGCTATAAGGCGATAGCCACCAGACGACGACAAGAAGCAGAGCCCCTGCGACGGCTACGAATCGCCAGTTCAGTCGCCGCGTCACAGGGGCGACATCGGACGGCTCCACGTCAGCGTGCCGATCGAACGGCTGAAATCGACGGCCACGAAGCTCCCCGGTCGCGTGCGACTTGAGCGGCACTCGATCCTCGTCGTCCGCCATGGGTGTGCTTCTATCGAGGCGCCGATTAACGAATAAGAGGGTTTGCTAATCTGCAGGCGCCGCCAAAGATCTAAAAATCGAATCTCCGTCTAAGAGGACGGCGAACTCAAACCGACTGAGCCAACTACGCGGTGGTACGGTCGGAGCGGCACCACCGACACGCGCGCGCCTCGGTGCTTTGCCGGGGAAAGTAAAAATCTTGCGATACAGTAATGCTGCTGTTAGATCGTGAAGAATGATCAGGCAGCGAAAATAACTAGTCTGAGATGGGTGCGAAATTTGAAGCTTCTCTCAATCCGTCAGCACTCGCGGAACTACGCCAAAAGGGAAATAGGCGATTCTCGCTCAGGGATTTGGACGGTCGAAGTTACACCCTCGGAAATTCGCTGTCATCGAGATTATGTCCTTAGGGCGACATCAGGTTGTGCGCCTACTGCGGTAAACTTCGTTTCAACACGGTGCAGAGAGATAAACGTCGAGAGCCGCTTTTCACCGTATTGGACCGTCCTGAACCACGATACAGGAACTGTAAAAGCGTGAGATATGTGTAACCTGACATCGTCCTAAACGCTAAACGAAGGATTTCTGTGCGGGATCAGCGTTGAGGGGACGTGTCCTAAATTGTTTTCCGGCTAAGTCCGCGAACTCAGTTAGTTCATTCATAACACTGCCACTTTCCCTCAGCACATCATTCTCCCATACCACCAGCTAGGCTCCAGGTTCTCCTCGGGAATAGGATCATTTTTCCATCGCAACATGACTACTGCTCTCTTACATCCCGCCCCCACCGTCTTCCTCGCGCCCCGCGCCCGTCAGCAGTTCCGCAATGCGCCCGCCTCCCCGCTCGTATGCGCAGCCCCCACCAGCATCCCAGTACTCCGCAGACCACGCGCTAGTACGCATTTCCTTCCCGTCGAATCGCGCGCGCAGCGAACGGCAGCTGTAGCTATTCGTTCTTGCGCTGCGAGAGTCGCCGCGCCATCCGCGAATTCCGGAACGCGATGGGGTTCGTTGTCAGTGCTCCGTGCGACAGACGGCGACGGCGATGTCGCGTCGACTAATAGCGAGTCAAGTGGATTCGATATACGACGCGTGGAGCAGTACACCGAGAGAGTAGGTGACGAGGTAGACCTAGCAGGGCGTTAATGGCGGCAGGTCCTGCTTGTGGAAAGCGTTACGAACGCGTTTAGGAGAGTAGACCTACCTGTGGACTGGAGAGGAGGTACTGGTACCTGTGACAGTGGAGGTATTACAATTTTGAAGGGAAAGGGTATGGGAACGGTGTTGGTTGAGCTATGTGTGAGCCGTGAGATGCTGTGAGCCGTGAGATGCTGTGAGCATTTCTATGTGGACAGCATGCTTATTTGAGCGGTTCGTGCTGTTCTGATGCCATGTGTATGTGTGTTCATCTGCTAGCGTGCATGTCTCACTGCGTGTCTGAGCGTGTGTGAATGTGAATACCGACGTGCGTCGGCGTCTGTGAATGTGAGCTGGGATGTGTGTAGGCGTGTGTCTGGATATCTGCATGCACACATGCATCACTGCGCCAAGAGAAGGAGGTGGTGATGCTCGACACACAGGTGCATCTTCACATGTTTTTTTGAAAGTAAATTTCGATGTGTGTTGGCATGTTTGCATATGCACACATACATCACATGCGCGCATGCATCGCATGCATCACATACATCACTGCGCCAGGTGCCGGGGGAGGTGGTGGTGCTCAACGCGCTGGTGGATGGGGAGGAGGACGAGGTGGTCGTCTTCAGGGTGAGTCACCCCTGCTTACCATCCCCGGGTGCTAAAAGCACAGGTGCGTGGGGGGAAGGACGAGGTGGTCGTCTTCAGGGTGAGTCACCCCTGCTTACCATCCCCGGGTGCTAAAAGCACAGGTGCGTGGGGGGAAGGACGAGGTGGTCGTCTTCAGGGTGAGTCACCCCTGCTTACCATCCCCGGGTGCTAAAAGCACAGGTGCGTGGGGGGAAGGACGAGGTGGTCGTCGGGTGAGTGAGACCCACTTACCACTCACCACTTGCCCTCAGCCGTGATACGAGCACTCTGCACTCAGGGGTGCTCAACGCACAGTTGCGTATAAAAAGGGACCACTCACTGCTGACACCGGCACTAGCAGTTACCACTCACGGGTGGATGGGGAGGAAAGATGAGGTGGTCGTATTCAGGGTGAGTGAGATCCACGCTTACCACTCATCACCAGCACACACCACCAGCACACCTATGATTTTTTTGACTAAAAAACTGAAAACGTCAAGGGTCAAAACGCCACGTTTTGACCCTTGACGCGTCAATCCGTTTTGATGCTTGACTCTACTGGTAATTTTTTTTGGGCAGCCCGATTTTGAAAAAAAAAATCAAATTCGAACTTCTGCGCTCAAAACGCGACCCGCCAAATTGAACTCGACATTTTGAGGCCCCAACCAACACCCAAATCACCCTCCACCCCTATGAAACTACTCAACCCAACCCATCCCCTAGTACTTCACCACAATTCTCCTTTGAAAACCCCATACATGACTGCCCCACGTGTCCTACAACTCCGGCTCCACCACCCCCCCCGACCTCTCTTACTAACCCCCCTGTTCCCAGTTTTTTTTACCCCTGCCCAGGATTTTTTTTGCCTGCCCGCCAGAGCGTCAAACTGGGGGTACCCCTTGGACAGGGGGCGTCAATAGCGTCAAAACGCTAGCGTTGTGACTCAGAGTCAAAATGCTGAGCGCGTCAAATCCATCATAGCAGCACACACCACCAGCACACACCACCAGCACACACCACTAGCACACACCACCAGCACACACCACCAGCACACACCACTAGCACACACCACTAGCACACACCACCAGCACACACCACCAGCACACACCACCAGCACACACCACCAGCACACACCACCAGCACACACCACCAGCACACACCACCAGCACTGTCCGCTTACCACTCACGGGTGCTCAGAGCACAGGTGCATGGGGGAAAAGACCGGGTCGTCGTCTTCAGGGTGACTCACGCCCCTGCTTACCGCGCACCAGCTCTACAGCGCTGCCACTCATCAGCACTTGAGGCAACATGCAGGCAGTTAGCAATATAAATGTTGGCAGCAGAGCGTTTGTCACATTCCCAGTTCCAGATTCGCTTCAATTCTGCTAGCAACACGGAACAGCGATGCAACAGCTAGCGATCGTGGTGTGGTGGTTTTTATGATTGCACTGGCAGCATTCCTCTCCTCTCCATCCGTGATGCTGAAATGGAAATTCGGCCTTAATTCTCGTTCTGCCATCCCTCCTTTATTTCTGTCCTGAAACCTCTGCCCAAGTTCCCCTGAAGTCTCCTCCCTGTACTGGATTCCCGCCCTCTCAGCACAAGCCAAGCTATCACTGCCTGCATTAAAGGCCAATCATGCTCCACTTCTCGAACCACACTCTTTCCCCAATGCCCTCCCACTCTCTCCTCGACTTGGGCTTTCCTCACCACCATTCATTCCTCCCATCCACATCTCGTCTGTCGTCTTCGTGCTCCACACCCAGCCGCCACTCCCATGCCTCCTCCTAAACTCTGCTCATCGTGTGTCCCATTCACTCGCCTCTCATTTCAGCTCCCCCAGGACCTCTCCTCCTCTCTTGTGCTGACCATGCCCTCGACCCCTCAGATCCGATTGAGCCCAAACCCTCTCATTCTCTCCCTCCCTACAATACCCTTAATCTATTCCCCCCTCTCTGCCCCCCACCCCCCCATGCCCCTCCCTCCGCCAGGGTTTCTCCTCGTCACTGGTGCTGCCCACGCCCTCAGACCCCTCAGACCCGGTGCTGAGCACAACACCCCTGTTCTCTTCCTCCCTACATTACCCTAATCTTTTACCCCCTCTTTGCCCCTCCCCACCCCCACCCCGCTCCCTCCCCCAGGGCTTCTCCTCGTCACTGGTGCTGCCCACGCCCTCGGACCCCTCAGACCCGGTGCTGAGCACAAACCTCCCGTTCTCTCCCTCCTTCCATCCCCCCTGATCTCTTCACCTTCTCTCTGCCCCCCTCGCGAACAACCCCCTCCCCTCCCCCAGGGGTTTTCCTCATCGCTAGTGCTACCCACGGCCTCGGACCCCTCAGACCCGGTGCTGCCCGCCTCTGCTGCGATCAGCTCAGTCGATCGAGTGAGGGGCCCCTTCAACCCTGCTCGCATGGAGTACATTCAGCAAGGCATGCGATGGGAGGAGTTTGACCAGCTGCTGGAAGCCATGCACCTATGACTGCTCCTGTAATGCATATAAATGAATGGAAGTTATGCTCATTGTAAGGTCTTTCTCTGCAAACAAAGATTGGGATTTGCTTTTGGAAACGAAAAAGAGGAAAACGAGGACAGCAAAATTATACGAATGATATTCTAATATTTTCTCTTATATTTTACATGCCAAAAAAAATCTAGACTATCCCACAACCAATATGAGGCACCAAAAAAATGAAGTGAGCGTTCTTTCACCTTACAGCCATATTCACTGCACAAGTTTGCCACTATCACAACAGAAAATGTACACAAAAGTTTCAGACCAGTTGACTTGGAAAGACTTCAAACTGTACAACTGAAATAACTTCTTAAGGTAATTACTCGATTTGATTAGGTTTTCTAAGGGCGAGGAATCTGCGAACGCTCAAGCTGATTAGGCATTTCTGTCTGACCCAGTCTTGCCAGCCGCGCGGTCAGCCTACTTACCATCATCTCGTCGTGAAAAATGTTTTAGCAAACTTGAGGTACCGAAACAAGATTTCGAAGGCTCCCGTGGAGCATACGGTACAGACGCCCGCATTCCAGTGTACCCCACGCCACTCGAAAGTCAGAAATCGGACCGCGCCTCGGCTCGCATTCTCAACTACCGAGCCGCATTCCTGAATACAAAAGGCACTCACCGATTCCTCTTCATCATCAACATCAGAAATTTGCATTTGCAGACTTCACACAGCAGTCCCCTAGTCTTACTGCAAAACACTGCCAAAACCGTCAACTGCCTGTGATAGCACAACTTCGTAGTGTAAGACTCCTAACTTCGAATTTATTTCGACCTCGCCGATGAAATCATCATTGGGTGGCACGGCGAGGATGGTGAGTCAAAATCTCCTCGCCGCTCCGCTGCTTTTGTTCCTTCTCGCTAACAGTTGCGCTGCTCACTTCCCCACTTCCCGCCGCGCTCTGACGAGTACTACTGGCTCGCCAATCCGCCCGCTCGTCGCGGACAACAACGACGACGCAGTGACATGGAAAGCCGCCGCATCGAAGGCTACGACTACGCCACACGCCGCTTCGCAAAGCCACGCGACAGCTAGAACCCGGGTTACCGGCAAGCCGCTGGTTTTCGGCGCTGGTGTTAGCACTCGTCCTAACAGCCGCCAGGGCGGGGCTCAGAGGCTCCAGGGCCACCGTCACAAAAAATGGGACGCCAAAAACCTGTCAACAATTGGCGTATCCACCAGGCATGCGCACTCGGGCATGGCGTAGAAAGCTGTTAGCACACACGAAGAAATCATTTCGGGACAAGGAATGCAGATGCACTGTCACTGTCTGGTCGAGCAATGGAACCCCTTTCACATTGTGTTTCCTGGAGGGGTGTGTATTTAGAATCCGGACGGATTCGTGTGTACGTTGACAACAACTTTTTGGGCCTATAAAAATCGTGATTACAGCGACAGAAGTTTGGATAAGGCAGCGCTGACGCGGCGACAACATCCAATCGTGCAGTGTGTGGTTTAGGGTTATGTCACGCGCCTGTGGCTGACGATTCGCCTTTGGTTACCCATAATTTCGTCGACAGCCAGTTATCGTATCCTGTCAAAGGGCGATAAGTATGCTCAGGGCTACACTAAACTTTGTCGTTAGCCAATCGGAGCCAACCAGGGTCCCTCGTGAGCCAATTATTTGATCCACACGCATGCAACCAAGCCAGCTCAAAGCAAAATTCGCACAACATTTCGCCAAAAATCGCCAATATCCTTCCCAGAAAGACAGTGCAGCAGTGACTTGTCCTCCTCGCTACAAAATTTAGGCCCATCTCATTTCAGCTTCATTTTTACCAGATTTCATGCTCCCTAGCGCCGATCTTCGTTTCAGATTCCTAGCGCACTGCTCTAGTTGTTCCACTTCTCCGTTCTTACCTGCGCTCTAAGTACTAAGTCCATTTTTTTATTTCCTGTTCGTTGTCTTCTGTTCCCCCTCCGCCAGGTCCTTACATGGTTGCGCAGCATGCCGGTATGAAGGAGCTTATCCCGCCTGCGTCAATATGGCGACGGCGTGATAGACGGAACAACTACCCTCCCTGCATCAGTCGTCTGGAGATCAGGTATGTTTTTATTCCAACGACGATTATCTAAACATGCGTCGTCTGTGTCTGTTATATCCTCAGGAGAAGTCCGTTTGTAACAGGGTGCAGGAGCATTCTACGTGCCTTTTCGAATTTGTCCCTGCTTCGGAAGTATATACCATACGGCAAAACAGTTTCGGTCAACATCTGCATCATGCAAATTAGGTAAGTCCACCGTAACATGCTCGTTGCTCTTTTCTGCCTAACTCGTCTTCGTGTGTTTGGTCTATGCTGTGAAGCTCGGCTGCGTGTGCTGGTTTATTTCCAGGTTAGGTACGTGCATCACTGGGTGCAGGAACATTCTACGATCCCCCTGTCCTTTCTACCATGTTTGTCGAAGTTATCAATATCCCGTGGTTTCGGTCACATCAACGCCTAACAAGTTAGGTAAGCTCTCTTTTGGTGCTCGTTGCCTATGCTAACTTTGTTGTCTGAGCTGTCTAGCTTTGTTGCGTGTGTTGCCAGCATAGTGCAGGTCCCGTTTGTCTTGTAGATCTAATTAAGTGGCAGTAATGCATGCTGCAATTGCGGATACATTGTTTTATCTTGCACTAAACGCTGCTCAAATGCATTAGTGGTAGTTTATTGTAAAATTGAATTTGTTCACATGTAAGGCATTCCAGAACATCAGCTGGAATACAGCTGAAGGTATTTATATTGTGGCACTATACCTAAAACTGACAATTTCACTCACTGACGCGCATATAGCAAAAGTTGTAAATCTTTTCTGTAATGCTTGTATAAGAAGTCTTTCTAATTTACGATGAGTCAGGTGTACTGTGGTAACCTTTTTTTTTCGTTACAGAGAACCTCTTGTATGAAGTTCCCCAAATCTTGTAGTGAGTATGAGCATTGTTTGCCTTATGTTGGCGCAATCCTTGCCGAGCCTGACGTGGTTTGCACTTACAAACCTCACAACGAAACCTCAAACAATCCCTGCGCGGTGGAACATTTCTGAAGATAGACCTCAAACATTGGTGCCTGGGACATACTACAAGCAGTGCTTTAGGATTTCATGAGGAAAGATTTCTGCCAAATTTTTCTGTGACGACCACCAGCAGCGCGGGGCCTCGGGATCTTTGGTCCGTGTGGCGAGACGCCCTCAAAGCCCCCGCATGGGCGCCGCTCCCGGCGGAAACGGCATGGACGGTAATCGGGTCGCTGGAAACCGTCCTGCTGGCGTGAATCATGGTGGGAGTCTCGGCAGAGCAGCAGGGGGTGGTGGCGGTGTGGCAAGGCACGGAAATTTTCGCGCGGCGAGCAGCGAAGACGTGGCGCTTCATGAGCGCCGCGGTCGTCCTCGTGACGCCCCGCGAGCCGCCGGCGCCGCCGGCGGGTCCAGCCGCACTGATGCGACGCAATGGAGAACTCCCGGAAGTCACGGCGCTGCTGCTGCAAGTAGCGCCCCGAATCATCACGGCGGAAACGGCGGAAACCATGGTGGAAGGTCAGGTCACCGTGGCAGCCAGCAGCATTCTAGGCAGACGGCATCACGGGGCAACAGGAAAGGCCACGAGGGCTTTCACAGGGCAGGCGACGCGGCAAATGTGGTCATTTCACACAGGAGGACATCGCGGAAAAGGTTTTGGGCCCGAGTATCCGAAAACGGGGTACTCTTCCGAAATGTTGCGGGAATGTATACAGAAGTGTCCAAAAAACACCCAGGCCAATCCGCACCCCTAATCCCACACAAGGGACTCGCCACTGCCGCGTCGCGACTCTTTGGCGGGACAACGAATGTCCCGCCAATATCCTCCAACACCGCAGCGCACATTTCAGTCATGCAGCGGACTCGCGGCCCGGACAACATGGGGTTCACTATACGCGACATTGCATGCCCAACTGCATACCATAATCGGGCAAACAGCAGAACATCGGCCCAACACACCTACGAAGTGAATACACCACTTAAACGCATACTAAACAAATAGGGTATCCACCAAAACATCAACTATAACGCATGTAATCTGGAACACAAAATCACAATCCGTCAAACAACACATACGAGTACCACGCACGTCTTACATCTCAGCAGCACTGAAAGCTGCCTACTCGTACAAAACGTGAAACCACCCTACTCCACCTCCAACTACACACCGCCAACAGCAATACCAGCCTAGAGGCTTCCGCCTGGCAAACAATCGTCGCACACCACACTAGCTTCCTGCGCCTGCGGAAAACCCACCAGGCTGGCCGCCCACCGCAGGTCCGTTACGAGCACGCTTAGTAGGCGTCCTTCGAAGGCGGCTTATCACCTCCTCGTTATGCGCGCCCAACGCCTCGGGCACCTGGGACACTGGTATGCCCAAATTGCCCGCCTGCTGGCTGTACTCGCCCGCCACCATCCGCACGACCCTGCGCCGGCTGCGAACGTCCCGATACAGTGGCCCTTCAGGGATACAAAAATACGCCGGTATCTCGTCATCATCAGCCTCGTCCTCCTCATCCTCCGCCGAAATCACGCCCCACTTGATGAGCAGGTCCTCGTCGCAGCCCACAAAATCCCACGACGTCATATACATACCAGGGGCCCTCTTAAAATTCTCAATAGCCATCTGCAGCATTGTAAGCTCGCTAACAATGGGCTCAAACATCAAAGCAGCGCCAGCGCCATCCAGGCGTTTCATCAGCGACACCCACGCCGTCGGCACACAACCCGCGCGCCACCAGCTCCTCTGAATAGCCGTCTCCGACGTCAACTTGCACGCCAGTTCCAGCCTCCTCAGCACGTCTGGGAGTGACGGTCGAGGTACCTCTCCCTTCTTCTTCCACTCGTTGCTGTCCATAGCGTCCTTCATGAACCAGTATCGGTGTATTGCCTTCACCGTGTCAACCACCCCGGTCGTCGACGGCATGCTGCACCGGGGCGGCCCGCCATAAAGCTGCACCACCTTGACACTCAGGAGATTCTGCGCCGCAAACCCGGCAACGGTTTCCGACTCGAACACACAACCAGTCAGCTCGTGCTTCGGGTCGTACACCAGAACAATTGCGCGCTCGTTCTTTGCGAAGAGATCCCCGTCCAACTTCACCATGTGCTCCGTGAATAGCTGTTGACACACGACGACATCCCCACAATTTACGCAATCAGCACCTTCCTCGTAACAGATTGCATTTGTGAAAACAGGAAAGCAAACCGCGCCGAGACTCACCTCAGACGACATGCGGCCGTGCTTTGCGTAGCGCACCACGACATTATGCTCACGACGCCGCCCATTGTGTACGGCCCTGCCATCATCCCGCCTCAACACCACAAGCGGATGACGCCACTTGGAGCCAGAAGCGTTGACCAGCAAACCCACCATCATATGCCACTCGCGCGCTATACCGAACTCCGCGTCCATAACCGCCGACACCGGGAGCCTCGTAGGTATGAACGGGAACTCGTAGAACAAGTACACATCGTCAGGATGGGCTTTGAGAGCCTCCAGGAGAGTCACTATCGCGGCCATGCTGTCGTATGACGTCTGTCTAGCACGAAAAACGCAGACTTGATATCCGCTGTGGTCCACGACGAAAAACAAGAGACGAGTACTTAGACGGTAGAGCCGAGGTTGAACCGATGAAGTTACGTACCGTCGCCCCCTCGCCTTATCCCGAACTACCGGAGGTACGGGGGAACATTGGCTGCGTAAAACACACCACATGTCACGTGAACCGCTAGCCTCACACGGTGCCCACCACGGATTTCATTGAACGGCAACCACATACTGTACACATCACCGACACTAGGTGGCATTAACTCAGTGGACCCCCGCACGCACCAATGGGGTTCGCCTATCCGCTCCGGTATGCACAACCGCGATACCCACCCATGCACACCGTTGTACAGCGACCGCACGGCGAAGTTCAAAAAAAGGGAGTACACCATTAAAAAAACGCGACTACAGAAAGGTACTCTCCCGACTACTGCCCCTTCAATACAACACTGCATGCCTGCGTACGCGATCGAAACACCGCAGTGCACGAGGCACACAACATTCAGAAAGAGCATACCATAAATCTTGCCAAAGGCTAACAGAGCCCCATTGCAACCTACACAATTGCGAACAGTCATAAACCACAAATATAGTGTCACAATGAAGCTTCTCAGCATGGGTTACGAGTTTATGGTGGCATATCACCCTCCCGGCGCTGATAATCAAACCAGCACCACGCCACACAGCATATTGGTCACGGTTGTGTAATTACGTAACACACATGTTTGACATCCAACAGTCACTGAATGGCCCGACCACATCACTCGATCAGCAGAAACTTGTTCACCAGGAGCACCTTGGGGTTGCTGAAGCTCCGACAAATGTGCACCACCCTCAGGATCGTGGCCACCTCCACCACAGCGAACCTCGTCTCCATCCGGTGGGGTGTTAGCTGGATGCATGTGGTCAGGGGACAGGGCCCAGCCTGCTCATAGTACCGCACGTACATGTAGCCCTTCGGCTCCCCCTCATCCCCAGCCGCCTTGAAGATGCACAACACCTTGGCAAACCACTCCCCCCCTTTAGGCGCCGACAGTGCCACATCAGAAAACCACTTCTCCCCCGGGCTCGCTTTCACGAACGTGCCCTTGGCCACCAACGCCCCCCCACGCGTGCGCGGAATCGCCACGGCGGTGTGTGCCTGTGGAACACGGATTCGGGATGCGGGTGATTAGTTACCAGCCGTCTCAATGTCGCAATCTCACCAGCAGACTCTGCAATAACTACCATACCTGGACGCGCTCCGCCTTCACCCCTGCCGATTGCATGCATCCCACTAGATCCTTCATGTCGTCACCGTGCGACGCGTGGTACATCGCCAAAACGGCATCATCCTCCGCCCCAGGCACCATGAGCCGCCCCTTCCTCGTGAGGACCGGCTTCTTGGTCCGCACAGCCTGCACATCGGTGAATGCAACGTTCATTACCACCAGGCGGGATGCGGCCCGATTGTGTGTGGCCTCCAAGGGACCCTACCTCACATACCGCTTTGCAACCCTACCTCTCTGAGAGCAGTGGTGTACTGCCACCCGCCGCCTGCATCAGCCGCCACCTCCCGGCAGATCTCCCGTTGCACCTCCTCCTCGACTATCCTCCGGGGGATGTCTTTCCAGTTGCCGCCCCGAACCGGCACCTTGACCGTGCCCTTGTGTGTATGCTCCCACAGCTCCGTGTTGTAGTGGTGGGGCATGCCCCTGAGAATCACATTCTCCAGCAGGTGCTTGATCATGTGCACCTTAGGGAACCGCCATCCCGACTTCTGATCTGGGTATGCTCGTGGGAGAAGGTCGACCAGCCTGCCCAACCCATCGCAACAAGAGATATAGAGGTATACATTTGATGACCGTATGTCCTTCTAGTAGTGCAGGATTACAGAAACCAGCATAGGACGCAGGCGGTTCTCACCTGTATGCGAGCTCCCTTGCGTGTGCGAGCGACGCCCTCGTGTGACCATCCACGCCAAGAAAGGCCTTGTAGAACGTTGCGTATAACCGGAAAGCACGCACTCTCATAGCCCTCAGCTCTGCGTCCGGCCCCTTCCCAAGCGCCCCCTTGTCCGCCACCAGGATCGGTTTACTTCGCGCCGCGAAAGGTCGGCATCGCGGATGAACAGGTATATAGCAGTGAGCGTGTCAAAGACAATGCCGTCCTCGCTTTGATCACTACAGGTGGACTGCTGCTCGTCGTCTACCGTCCCTTCATCACCTGCTGTCGCTTCCGCCACCTCGTCAGCGGCCGCCACTGCATCGTTAGCTAGCGAGTTCGGGCTAGACGTCTCGTTGGGGCGACCTGCGGTACGGGCGGAAACAGCCGCGTAGGCCTCCAGATAGGCCTGAGCTAATCGGGCGTCACGCTTGCCGAGGATGTTGCGTCTGCACTCTGCGCTCTTTGCAAGGTGCGACTGAAGCGCACAGTCATCGCGAAGGACACGCGGACACCCCCTGCAGCGGCAGGCCGCCATATCCGTAACACGGAGCCCTAAAAAGTCAATGCACTAACGCATGAAGCAGTGGACACTGGGGTTGGTATCCACCCCAGTCACAGTCACTGGCTCAACCTCACCCTGGTGTCGTGAACATGATGTTGCTATCAAGGAGAATACGTATGACTTTGTACCGCGTGCCACTTTTGACAATACAGGAGAGCTTTTTGACGGATCTAGGCTGGCTACGTCATGCGCTGCCTGGCACCATCGTGTGTCCCCACATATGCCTAGAGGTTCTTAGTGTTGTAATTGCCCATCCTATAGTACTCTGCGCAACAATATGGTGTACACATGTGGGTGACACTGGACAGCGTGTGTGGACCGACACTGAAGTGCGTCACTCTATGTGGTACGCATCGAAACTTTAGCGTGGGAGATAACATTAGGTACAACATGGTGAACACGTGGTCCCAGTACACTCGTGCACCTGTTTAAAGCAAACGGATTTCGCCAGAGATGACGTTTACACGTTGGAGCCCAAAACAGCACAGCTCGGCCTCGAGATTTTTCTTGCCAGCAAAACGCGGGACGACGTTGACACATGTCACGTCCTGGCGATTTCCCGCGCAGCTGCATGCAGATCTTGTAGCTTCGCCCATCCTGTTGGACCATTCGGCGGGAGGAGTTCACCGATCGAGCCCCAGCCTGCTTCCAGGTCACAGAGGGTGTCCAAGCCTCCGTCGTACCTCCGCAACGCATACCAGCTGACTCAGAAGCGACAGCGCGGGAGGAAAGCGGAGCGATCGGTTGCAGTGCCAGCCAAGCGCGCCAGGGTGACGAAGGCGAAGGGGGTTCCTCTGAATGGTAATAGTTGTTCAAGCGACGACTGCGAGCATGGCCGTTGATTACCATTCATCTGGCACCATCTTAAAGTGTTGTGTTCGTTGTGTTTGTTCGCAGCTACAGCATCCGCTGCGCCAGAGACTTCAGTGGCGGAGGCACCTCAGGCAGAGGTGGAGATAAGCGTCGGTGCGGGCGATGAGGACATCGAGAGTGAGAGCGAGGCACGCCCGGCGCCCTCCCGGTCGAAGAACTTGGCCTCTGTGATGGCAGAGTCACAGGCGACTGCCACCACCAGGCCCCGTCCTCCGCCCGTGCGTGTGCCGGACAACCCTTTTGTGGCCATGCCTGTAGCTGGGTCGTCTCGTGACCCGACAGCGCCCGGGGAGGAGACACACATTCTGATTAGTCGCGCGGAGTTCGAGGCCTTGAAGAAGGCGCAAGAAGCGAGCGCGCGCACCGTGGCCCGTCTTGAAGAGGAGCTGAGGTCTGCTAAGGCTGTGCAGGCGCGTGCACCCCCTCGCAGGCCGGACGAGCATGTCTCGGGGAGCGGTGGTGCTTCTGGTCGGAAGCGGAAGCGTCGGGAAGAACTCGCCGATGAGGAGACATCCGACGAGGAGAGCGAGGATGAGCCACCCACCAAGAGGGGGCATCTGAGGGTGTCCAAGTCACCGGTCCTGCAGCGGGCGCTGAATTTTCTGCCCGCAAACAAGTCGTGGAAGGTGCGTTGTGACGAACATAGGTGCCTCCACCATGTGTTAACTGCCTTTGCACCCCTTACTACGTGCTTCTCGGAGTTTTGACGGCGGATGTGTGTGCTGGGTGGTTTTGATATGGTTGCAGCGCGCGTGCGACCTGGTGAAAGATTACCTCTTCTTTGAGAAGGAGAACGCCCGGATCACGTTCTATCCGAGCAGCGACGACAAGACGGTGGGAGTGTGTGCAGTGATCGAGCGCCTGCCTTTCGATTTCGCGACACTTGCTCTGGCTGCGGACAAGGCAAGACGGTCGGATTTGAACAAGGCCCTTAGCGAGTGGAAGTCGGGCGCAGCAGGAAGGACGCGGGACATCTCGTGTCCACGGATGGGGCTTTTCCGCGACGAGCGAGATACGCGCAGCCCATGGGCCACGAAGAAGGACCGTACTCTGGAGGAGATACGATCGCATTATGGGCTACTGCTCGGCGTTGACGGTAAGGCGGTGGTCACGTGGTTGGAGAGGGGATGTATGCGGGATGCGTGGATCGCGGACTTACGTGGGCGTGCATTTGTGCGCAGATCCCCTGGCATTGTCCAAGTTTGGGAACGATCGGGAGGGGATGCCGTTCGCCTCTGGCGCATTCGTGGCATGCGCGGTTGCGGCATTCAAGCCGAAGAAGGTGGTCGGGCCACTGACGGTGAAGCTTTACCACCTGGCGTGGCTGGAGCATGTGGTACGTGCTTGGTGTTTGTTTGTGCTATGTGGTCACCCGTCCTCCCCCGGTGGCTAAGGGGCTGTTTGCGTGTCGCAGGTGACCGACACGCTGGTGAACTGGGTGGCGAGGAAGGGGCGACTGTCGAACTCTGCCTGTGGAAACGCGCAGGTGGTCGATGGGCTCGTGATCCTTGCGCGTGAGGCAGTGTCGAACGCGATCAGAATCTTCAAGCCTAAGTACGACGTCGCCTCGTGCTCGTGGACCTGGGGGCGCCATGGCCTTCGACTGTCCTCGTGCGGGCTGGAGGACTTAATTCCAGCGACTGCCGCTACCCGTGATGGGGCAGAGGTTCAGGCGGACGAGATCTCTGGGTCGCTTGGAGGCCCGTAAATGGTGGGGGTTGAAGGCATGTTTTCCCAGCTGGGGTTTGTCGTGCATTTGTTGCTGTAGGCGGGATATTTGTGTTTGT